AAAACTGTTGAGAAACATGTTTCAATGAAAAAAATCTTATATTACATTCATTTCCATGATAAAGTATATATTCAAATTGTTCAGTACAAAAATGTTTATTTTCTGGCACTTGTAACCATGAAATAAGAGAATCGTATAATGAAATAACATAATCCACAGCTGAAGTTCTTGAAGCAAATAAAAATAATGTTGAAAAAGCATATGTAGGACTTTTTCACAATACTGATCCTTAACAAAAAACAGTACAAGTCATTGCATCTTCAACATCTTCATGATGTTCATTGCACCTTCAATATATTCATGATGAGTCACATAAAGATTAATTGCACAAATGGTGGTGTGAAGCTTTAGATATAGTTTGACATGCTTCCAACAGAAATTCAGTGCTTCACCCCACTACTCTGCAAGTGTTTCCACGCAGTCTCATGTATATATTTTCCAGGAAAATTTCACAGCTGCACCTTCCCAGCACCCTCTTTTCAAACCATCATTTTCTTCCACTGCCCCCAAATATATTTCTAAATAGAAATCCAGTATAACACTTCTAGTCATGCTTTTGTCTCAACTTAGTTCCACTAATAACAGCTTCTATTTCATGTCCCACAAAACAGTACCTATTTTAAAAATATTATTATATTCAATATAAGCAAATATAGGTCTGTAGGTATGTTTTTATTAGAGGGGAATAAAACAAGAATGTGCAAAGCTACATAATCACAAATCTTCCTTCCTCATCTCCCTCCAAAATGCATAGTTTCTCCAGATCACATTAAATATTCCCATTTGGCATGGAAGCTGAGGAACTAGAATCCAAAGTGACTTACTTGTGAAACAAACCAGATGCTAATTTAGCTTCCAAAGGTGAAAGGCTAGTACAATTGCCTTTTATCATTGTAAATTCAAGATCTTTCCGCCTGCTTCATATGCTTGGACAGAGAATTTTCTTTTAAGGGTCCACATCAATAGATGGAGGAGGAGCTCTCTTTGCTAAGGAGCACTATCACTGGAAGATAATTTACCCTTTCAGAAATTTAGCACTGCATAAGGGATTCTCTCCTCCCTCAACATTCACATCCTGTTCAAGGGCTTTTAGGAATTCTCACATCCTGCTGTACTGAGTATCTTGGGAAAGAAGATTCTGACCACCTTTGAAAATCACAAACATGTCACTGCAATACTTAACTCACTAAAGATGAACTGAAGCCAAAACTAACATTTAAGGCCAGAGAAACAGAATCTGAACATACCTCCTTGTATTTATATTCAAAATACACAGTAAAGCATTATACTCACAATCATTAACCATACCTTACTGCTGAGTCTGACTATGTCAATCACACTTACATAAATTACAATACAAGATGGATTTGACTGATTTGTAAAATTAGCCACAAAAATAATATTTGGCAGTATAAATTTGAACACAATTTATGTTTTATTCCCTGTGATAAATTTTGAAAATTGGCTTATTATTAGCACATACAACTTGTGCTGCTCAAACCCAACATTTCAGCAGGGACATATAAACACATGTGTGTCTCCATAACTAAACACCAGAATGTATCCCAGCTTTTAATAATAGCCTATGCCTAATAAGACACAACAACTAGCAACTTAAGGGCAAGTTACAAAAAACCTGAATGTATTCTTTATTCATCTGCAGAAACAAGGTAACCCATGCTCAATTCTATATGTTGCTTTCCTCATACATTCAGCTAAGGATATTTTTTCTATAGATCACAGGTCTGAGTCCCTAGTAGTGCTACTATTTTAAGCAACCTTTAGGGAAGGAATTATTTTCTTTATTCCAAATGCTATCCACACCATATATGTATTATAATACTAAACTAATGAATAGCTAATATGAACAGTTCCCTAAAATAAATTTTTTTTAAAGCAATTATATATTTTTATTTTTCACTGAGTTTCTCTTAGGCTATGAAGAGAACCTAACAGGATCTGCTTATCATACACACTTTAAAAGTTGGAAAGAACATCAGAGGCACTAAAGTTGTTGCATCTGTTATAAACAGATGGTAAACCCAGGTTTAATCACATTGCCTAAGCTACTTAAGATCTTGGAATATGACACAGGGCCTCTGGGAAGTCTGCTTGGGATACACATATCCTGCTCATATTCTTCCATTTGACCTAATTACTTTCTGTATTGGTCAAATTCTGCACAAATCAAATGAAGGAATAAAACCACTGCCTCAAATTCACACACTTTCTATGAGTAATACACCATATTAACAAGTGCACAGTATTGTATTTTTAAGACTGTACAGTACACTGGAACAAACAAGTGAGCACTGCTTGGACACCCTTTCTAAACCTTGGAATTGTAATGCTGGATAAACAGACAAAATACCAAAGAATTCTAGAAAAGATTGATATGCAAGTGTAACTTTTTCATTGTAGAACTTGCAGTAATTCAGTATTACAATAATTGTGTTTATCTATTTTACTAAGTGCTAAGCAGATTTCCCAACTTCAGCTGAATGAATTTCAATGTGCTGCTTTCCTATGAAAAAGCTAAGTCCAAACTCCAGATAATCTTAAAAGAGAGAGGAGGAAAACCATGCACACCGCCTACTCATTTGCCACAAAGCCTACAGCTTGATTATCACAAAACTTGGGGGCAGCTGTGGCACCACTCTAGCAGGCAGAAACAAAACTCCTCTTCCTCTTACCCATCCTTTCCCTGCAGGAATAATAGAAGCAAAACAAACTCTTTGCAAATCATTGGACTGATCTCAGGCCACCAGAGAGATAAGAGCTATTATTTGAGATGGAAACTTCTATCTTGAAATGGAGACCTCTTTTTAAATACCTGGTAGCAAAACTTTGAAAAGAGCAAGAACAGCAAAATGGATGGCTTTAGAATCAGAGCCATCCTACTTCTCTACAGTTTGTTCAGTGAACTGATAAATAAAAAAGAGGTAATCAAGATAGGCATTACTTTGGTTTAAAGGCGGCTGAAGTCTCAATATCGCTCCCACACATCCTGGCTCCGAAGGAACAAACAAGGATTCCTTGGGGTTATAAAGAAAAATCCTCCCCGCCGACCGTGACACTTCATAGGCGGCGGGGGAAAGGGGAGAACCCGGTGGAATCAAGCTTCCCTCCTACTGCGAAATACGCTTTAAAGGTTTTTTTTTCTTTTTTAAAAAATAAGCGATAGTACAAACTATAACGAAAACGGTTGTTTGCCACTATTTTGTATCTGCAAGGTAAGGTTCCCCCTTCTCCAGACAACTGCTAAAACTTGCCTACTTCAGCGTTTCGCAGATCAGTGTTTACGCACGTTTACTCAAAAGCTCCCCCTCCCCCTCCCCCAGTGGGTCTTTCAGCTTCCCTCTGTCATTGTTCACACCGACGCCGCCACAATCTCCGAGCGACTCGGCGGCATTACTTTTTAAACGACTTTTAAACACCGAAGGAACCACACAACTTCTGGAGAAGCGTCCCTAGGAGACACGTGGGACAATTTTACCGGAGGGGGGGAATGGAGGGAGGGGGGAGTCAGGATCGCGGACATTTCTACTCCCCCCCTCCATCCAGCGTGG